AACTGCTGCCAGATTTCAATTCTAAACAAAATAAAATTCTTTACATTGCTTTTGTATTTGCTTCGTGTGATAACTACCTTTTCAGCCTATTACTAAACTCAATTAGAAATTCTTACTCATGCTGCAGTGCTTTGCTGAGCCTAATGAACAAAGTTTCATAAAATCAGCTTGTGACCATGTGATGACTATTAAAACTTATAAAACCCTTAACAATTATCATAAGGAAATCAGCATACTATGGCATTGTTAGAGGGTGCATCGTGAACCAAAGTACTTCTAGCTCATCAGAGCTTTGCCTGTTCATGCTGGAGCACAGACCTGGTTTTAAGCAAACAGATGGAAATACAAACCTCTGATATTCCTATTCCACTTTGTGCAACATGTTTAGAAAGAGGAATTACATTGACCTTGAAAATCTATTGCACTGTACTCTGTACAGTGTATTCCAATTTCTTCCTTCCATAGCTCCCTTTTCTATCACTTTTTATCAGTGTTATTTATGAAAGCAAGTTATTCACATTTTAGTTTTTTAAACTAATAGAGCAACTGCCACACACCTTTAATACAGTTTTATTCCAGATAAATTAGCAGGTTTCAGAAGGCTTTCATAATTGTCTTCCCTTCTACCCTACTGGTAACACAATACTATTACCTGCTGCCAGCCTGGATACTAATCCTTTGTGTTGGTGTTTCCTGCCCTAGTGTCTCTTCTGGCAACAACCAGAGTTGGCCCTTCATAATTGTCCTTCTCCTTCAGATTCTGCCTAGAAAACTGAGAGTGTTGTAGCCAGGCTGATAATTATTTCACAGTGGGACCTTCCAGTACTGTTCAGAGATGCAGAGAAACATTTGCTTTGGAGAACACCAGACATGCCTGGAGACTTACACAAGCTATAATTTTTCAGCAGTCAGAAGCTTTCCTAACTTTCAAGTGTCTCTGCGATTCTGTTTTTCCTGCTAATGTCCAGTACTTGGTTTAAGTATTATTCTCTTGGTATCTACATTCACAGCATGCCTGTTTTGTGTATTGTAGCCGACAGTGGGGCCAGGATACTTCTTCATGTAGTTATCTACATGTGAGCTGTTCCGACTACACTTTTCTCTTAGAGAAAACAGATGTCCATTTTAGCTTTTGCTCCACAAAGTCCTCAAAGAAGGTCAGATGAATTGCCACTTAAAACTATGAATTAGTCTCCATTGGCCACAAATGGATTTATTTTAACTAACAGAAGCATATATATACTTCAGATGTCTATATCTATACAGGAATTTGACCATAAAATGAGCATAAACTGTCTAGCATAAATCATATGACTTTTAATAATAAATTTTGCATATAAGTGGATAGCATAATAAAACATAAATATTTAAGCAGCATATTGTGTAGTCCTTTATACTGCTTTGCTTTCTCCACCCTGCCACAAAACACTTATAACTTCCCTGTTGTTTACTTTCTTTCTTGTGTTGAGCTTTCATCGTCCACTGAATACTTCAACACTGAAAGTATTGTACTTAACCTAACAGCCGCTCAATGAAGTAATCCAACAGCATATTATAGGTGCCTACAGAAACAGAAACATCCTGGCCATAAAAAATAATGCCCTTGAAAAGCTATTTGGAGAAACATTTCGTTCTCTTTAGCCTTCCAGAATGAAGATGTGTTGTATGAGGTATTTTATACATGCAAATGCTTCATTTTCTTTCTTTAAGTCTTTATAGTACTATTTGTTTTCAAATGAGTTTTGTGGTTGTTTCGTACAGGGAATGTAAAACCCAGGGTACATGTCACTATTCTGTGGTTTGCCATATACTTTTCTTTAATAAATCATCATTGAAGATGTGAACAAGTTTAATTTCACAATGTAAATATTTCCCTTTCCAATTTGTGTGTTTGTATGTGTGTGCCAAAACCAGATTTTTCTAAAAAGCAATAATCTAAAAACCCACAATTTCAGCACAGCATGAAGCTATGCCAAATAATACTCACATGGAAAAACTGAAAATGATACAGGCCATTTATATTTATGAATCCTGAGCTCAAAGAAATACCTATATTTTTATTAAACTTTGTTTGGAAGCCATGTTCAGTGATTTCTGGATTTTTGGGAACATAATGATGTATATGGATCATAAATGACTCTCCTGCTGTTTGTCTGCCCAGAACAGACCTTTAGGTAAATAAACAATCTCAAACATAACTAAAGTATTGGTATACTCCAAACTTAAGGAAAACTTTGAAAACATGAACACTGGAAAAAGTATCAGTTACATAGAGTTACAGAATAAATTAGTTTGGAAAGGACCTTTAAAATCAAAGAGTCCAATCATTGACCAAACACTGCCAAGCCTGCCATTACTTTATATTCTTAGGCATTATATCTACATGTCTTTGTAGAATGGTATGTAAAACTGTACTCAGTTCAAAACTGGTTTTCTCTATTTAGTCTACTTTCTCGCTCATGACCATGACATAGTGATTGGAAAGTGGAAATGCTAGTGGAGCCCACTGTCATCCACCTTTTGAAAACAGCTGAGCCATCTTTTACAGGTTACAGCCATGTTAGCCAGCAATAAAAAAAAAGAAGGGCAGTTGCAAACATGCTCCACAGGAATAGTTGAAAGAGATAGGCTCCAGCAACATGGATATCTGCTATGCCTCTTCTTCAGCTCAGGTAAATTAGAAGTGTCTCTGCATTGTGCTTATCTGTGAGAATGGCAGGAAGCCATGCAATTTTTGGAACTGATTTCACTGCTTATTTGGTTAATTGGACATCAAATAGAGCACTAAATGGAAGGACTCTGTTAGTGCCCACTAATCCAGCAGGGAATCACAGACTTCTGATTCCAGAAGATAGAGAATTCATCACTTGGGTGATGAATTTTATTGTTAAGAGGTTATGATTACACATAAAAAATACTTACCTTATTTTTATTGAGTTTCTTTCTGTTGTGTCTGAACTGGTTTCATCTCATATTAGCTGGATTTATGTCTCAGTTATTTGTTAGAACAAATATTTTGTGGCATAAATGGCCTTCCAACACACTAGCAAAAATGGATTAGAAAGTACAAATCTACTTTTTGGAAGGGTCAATGTAACAAAAATAAAATTCTTTAATCCTGCTTGCTTGTTTTATGTGCTGGAAACCACTGAAGCTTAGACTGTACTAAGTTATACACCCCAGTCACAAGAGCAGCTACACAGACTAACACAGCCTTTGTGGGATCTGTACAGCTGCAGCTCCCATTCAGCTACTGTCTGAAGCCACCTCCTTTATCACTAACTTAGTGTCTATGCACTACCCTGACATTGTATCTCTGCTACCTCTGTGACAGCAATAAAGACATATTCCAGAAGGAACACAGCTGACGTGCTCTAAGTGTGTTCCAGTTACTGTGTCCTTTCAGGCAGTACAATGGAACTGCTAAATAAAGGCAGAGGTTCAACCATTTACCAATGCTGTGCATCCCAGTTTCCTCAGGAGCATTACTTGTGGTTCAACAGTCTGTGCTGTTGACTCTCAGTTCAGCTAGATCTGGGCAGGCCAGACCCTGTAATCATCAGGGCTCACTGTCATAAGTGAGACTTTAATCACAGAGCTTTTTGGAAAAAAAACTCACACCCTTTCTCCCCCAAATTCTAGGCAACACTGGTGTCCAAAAAAATCTAAGGAAAAGAAATTACTTTGCCAGTTAGCCAATAAAAACTTGAAGCTTTAGAAGAATATATATCAGGGAGATTTCACATATGCATTCTCTCAGTCATACTTCTTCACTCTCGCTCTTCTCAATTTGTTATGTTTGGCCACATTGCTGGATCTGCTCTACTTCAGTTCTTTTGGACTCCAGGAAATGTATAATTATTATTTAAGAATCAGGATTTTGTTGAAGCAGTGCAGCCCAATTAATCTTGTTTCTTGTAATAAATCTAATAAAATTGAGGTTTGGAAAACATACTCATGTTGTGAACAGAAACAAACCACTGAGGCAGACTTAAATGTCCTCTGACTGGTTAAAGCTTTTTAATGATCTAATTTGCCCTAGAGCAAACAGTTACCATCATTTTGGACACTGTGATTTCCAGATGTAGTAGCCACAGAAGAGGAAAGCTCCAAGAACAACATGATTTCTGGGGACACTGATGTTTAGATGATTGGTTTTCATTATCAGACTTAGTGATTATTTTCAGGACTTATACCACAGTTACTAACATTGTTTTCATTAAACAGAAGACTGCCAGAAGCAAGTTAATAGCTAGGTTTTGAGTTATTCCCTGTTCTTAAGAGTAGTTTCATTATCAGATAATCAACTAGCAAGCTGCTTGCACTAGCTCTGTGCATACACACAGATCTTCCTGTGACTGGTTCATGCACCCTCCTCCCCAGAGATCAGGGGTACTCCATGCAAGAACATTTACTAAACAGAGTAAGGCACCACAGGCCAAGTGGCAGGCATAAAGCTCTGACTTCCCATCTTGTGAAACAGTGTCAGACATATTGTGTATGTATTTTACTTAATGGAATTCCACTAAAACCTGTGCTTCAGGGTGTGGCTCCTCTTGATAGAAATACAGCAAACAAATTAACTTCACTTATGTTTTATCCAAATAAAAAGTGCAAGACTAGGGAGATTGTTCAACAGAAACAAATAGTCCTACCTCCCCTTTGCCAGCCAGAAACTGATTGCTATTAGAGGTAAGGGAAGAGCCTTGGCAAGTACAAATATGCTGCAACAGGAAGTCCTTTAGCCTCTTAGAAAAGAAATTTCAGTACCGACAAAACGGAGACCACAAGAGCATCCAGACAGATTCTTGAAATTAATCCTTCCTGATTTAAAGTGGAAGACAGCAAAATTTTTATTGAATTGTCCTACTGCTCTCAAATTATAATGTGCTCTACTAGATTGCAGGTCAGTCACACCAATCTGGAGGATATTATTTTTTTCCCTTTTCCCCCCCACTTATTCTTTTCACTCAGACAGCACTATTGATGAAGACCTCAGGAAAAAAATACCAGCACCCAAGACACTTTGATGGCCTTTCCACTGTGTAATTATACTTACTCTTGATAACACTAAAGACATGCCTTATTGGTAGTGGCACAGGCTGCTTTCCTTTTCACAGAGAGATGGATTGTTTCTGCAGGCCTTGATGGCCTTCAAATTATCTGAGCACAGAAAAGAGAGCAGAGTGAATTTTATTTTAACTCATTTTATTTCTAAATTTATTTCCCAGTAGCTAGAAGGTGATGACTGCCCCAGCAGTCAAGTCAATTGTTATCTGTGGGACTTGATTATGTTTAGACCCAGTCTCTCATTTTGAGCAAGACACAGTTAATGAGGAGAGAAATGAAAAGTGCATTGAGTCACAGTGTGTTTGTGGTAATTTGTGACACATTCACTCTACTCAGTTCTTTGTTTATTCCTTCCCCCCTCCACACAGGTCCTGTAGAAAAAGGAACAGATAAGCGAATTCAGTGGTAGACAGTTAAGGGTGTTGAAAGTAATGAATCTATATCTCTCTATCTCTTTCCCCATTGTTGGCAGTAATTGGAGCAGTGTTCATCTATACAGTAAAATGCCAGTGAAGCCCATCTTAATGAAACATCTTTTTTTCCATTATTTTGCAACACATTTTTCATTGACACAGCTAGTTTTTATTTTCACTATATGCCCTTTTTTTTTGCAAGCTCTTTGCCACTCTTCTAAATAATAGTCCATTAAACAGTTCACAGTGTGTGTTCTGTAGAAATGTAAAAAAGTGATTGGATGATACTAATTAAGGAGAGATTTTGTTTCCACTTACTGCAGATCAATGGTGGGTTACATTAAAGCTGCATTTTTGTGATGAGTTTAAACACAAAAGAACAGCTGTGCTAAATACATATTTCAAGGCTTACAGGTAGGTCAAATAAATCTTTCTTTCTTTGCTTGTCTATTTTAAAACTATAGCAAACTGTATGTGAAGAATGGCAGTAAAATAAAAAAGGCAAATTTCTCAGTGCAAATATTTTTCACTTCTGGTAACAAGAACTGCTAATTCAGGAATGCCAATTGCAATGCATTGAGATCCTGTTGGCTTTTAATTTAATCTATAGACTACTATGCATTAATTTTAATGAGACCTTTTTTCTTCTGTTTTCTACAGTTGCCACTCTAAGGTATTCCCTCTCTGATTTATGGCAGTGCTCGATGCAGGAATAAAACATATTAGTGAGAAAACTCTGTATTTGAACCCACAGTTTTTCCTTTAATCCTAAATTATTCTGAGCACAAAATGTAACCAAAATCTCCATAAAGAGATATGCTCATATGCAAAGAAGAGTGGCAGCTCATTCCAGTCAGATCAATTAAAATAAAAATTCACTATTCGTTGGCATTCCTTGATCAGCATGAACAACAGTCAGAGGAAATTCACCTGGTTGCCTCCAAGTAACATAATGAATCCTGAACATATATGACAAGGAACTAAAAGAGAAAATGCTTTTCAGGCACTTGCTCTAAATATTAAATGCACAAAACTGTTTTAAAATCAGTTCACTCTATTTTAGAAATGTATTTTCTTTAATATAGGATTCTATATAAGGAATCTATAAGCACCCTGCTTTTATCCAGTTCATTTCAATATCAAAAGCACACAAGAATTTTTGTTCATACTTTCCTTGCATTTCAACAGTCTAGATCCCAATTCTAAACCACCATTAGCAGACTAGAATAACATGAGTAGGCTTTGTATTGCTTGAATTAAGGAAGGTGCCTGATACCTTTGATTTTGTAGAAAGCAACCTCACATATAGATTTACTATTATACAACCAAAGTTTGTACAGAACAGATAAAAAGGTCCATCTTTACTGTTTTAAGTTCAAGCTATTAAGTCAGTACTCTGTGCCTTTCCTCAAATCAGCTTAAATCAAAAGTTAGTTCAGAATTCATAATACCTTTGTTTCATGTTGAAATCTAGGGGTTCTCAAAACTTTTGCAGATTCTTGAAAGGAATCATGTATGCTGGAAATTGATCAAACCCTGGATGTGCTCACTTCTCAAAGAGGTGCACTTGTAATAATTTTAAGAAAGTCTCATTTATGTGTAATGAGCTAGACACCTGCACCAAGACAAGAATATCCATAGCTAGTGTGAAAGGCCTGCTGTGAGTCTGAAGACTACTTGTCTATAAACACATGGACAGTAGCACCACAGCCCCATGCCTCACTTCACAGTTGGTCAGTTACCTGTCTTTTCCAAGGTCATGTAGAGCTGGTGTTTTCCTAACATCATTATTAAAATGTCTTTTTTCCTTTACACACCTTGAAATACCAACAAAGCCCTTTTGCAGCACATTTTTGGTCCAGAATGATGCTCTGTTTAGCCTGCATATCAGCCGACTGATCCCATGAAAGAAAAGGTTACTCAGCCACAAAAATGTGAAAACTTGTAGGGTGTGTTACAGAATTTAAAAGCTGTGCTGAGACCAGGCAGTATTCAGCAAAGGCCTGTTTTCAAGAGTGACATCCACTCTTGAAGTGAAAACAAAGACAGTGGGAAAGCACTCTGCTAGTTATGGGGCACACTTCCAGTGAATAAAATGGTCTTTAAAACCTGCAGTACTGTGCACCCCACGCTGCTTTTACTGCTGCTATGAACTGGATAGATTAGGGTGAGCAGCACAATTTTTAGTTCAATTTTGCTCAGTGTGTCTGTGGTTGTAGAATCCACATGTATATAAACTCTTTATTCAAGCATGGGTTATCACTGGTATTCTCACAGCAATTTATACAAGGAAGCTTCTCCTGGTATAATTCATTAAAAATTAATCAACCCATTTCTGTGCAAATCTCTGTGACATGTGTTCTTTGATGCAGTGAGTGCTGAATAGTCTTTTCTTTATTATGAAATGACACAAATGGAACTTTCTAATTGGCTGTCAGTGATGTCATATCCAAATAAATGCACAAGTTGGCTTATTTCTCTTATTATGAACATTCTCCATGACAGACTCTGACTTTCTGGAGAGCTCCTGTCCCTCTTTGGTAGTTAACATCACTTTGCTGGAACTATTACAGTTATGCCTCTGTAATATGATAGAAACTTGCTAGCCTGTTTTCCTGTCTTTGTTTGCATATGGGGGATACTTTCTTTCTTTCTTTTACTATGTTCCCTGACTGCCCACAAAGGCAATGTGGAACTTACCAATTGAAACAAGTGACAACTTTCTTAAGCATCCTTTTAAAGCTGTCTTTTTGGGTGGTTTCAAGGATTGTGTCAAAATCAACAAGAAATGTGGTCACGCTCATATCTAGCTCATAGTTAACAGACTTCGTATAATATGCAGCAGTTTCATCAGCACAACCACAAAGTGTACATAGCCAAGACACATATGGAAACAGTGAGATTTTGTTCTTGTGGTTTTCAGCTTATTTGTGTATTTGGTTAACCGTGCCTCGTTAATGCAGAAGGATTGCCACATCTCCAGCCTTTCCAGGAGGGTCAGCTTTCACTGCAGGAGGATTTGCGCTCCAAAGAATGTGCTTTGGCAGGAACAGTCTAGCTTACATTTGTTTTTTCTCTGTTATCCTTGTTATGTATTTACAGAGCTTAGATAAAGGGGAAATATTTTGCTTCTAGGAATCACCTTTCAAAATCATGTGGCAAGGTGCCACATTCCCTATCTATCCTCCATACAGCTCTCCAAACCAAGACTACAAATCCATAACTTCTTTACTACCTCAGCTCCTAACTACATTCACCCTGCTTTGTAAGCAGCTCTGCTTTCATGTGCAACCTTCAGCTTATACCCAGCTTCAAGATCCCCAGGCCTCTGCAATTTCACAGGACAGCCAGGACCACCCTCATTAAGACCACAGCCTCTCTTGCTCTCTCTGATCTCACATGAACTCTTATCACCTACTTCCAGTCAGTCCCAACCAGGTTTGTCAGGGGAGTGAGGCACTGCAGATGCTGTTGCTGGGGGGAGTATAGGGGTAGGCATCCTCTAGGATGGTCTGCTGAAGGCAAGGCCATAATCTGATCTTCAGCTCTACACCTGGACTCCCTCCTCATGTTACCTAGGCTGTGTTTAAGGTATAGGAAGTAACAGAAGATAAATTCACCTGGAGACTCCTGCTCTTTAGGTGATTTCCTTACTGGATGCTCTCCTCAGATACCTATGATTATTACTAATCACATGCACAATGAAAGTGCAGCTTTGGTAATTCTTATTCTCCAGGACCTGGAAAAAAGTTACAGAATATAATGTGCAGTAATCCCAGCTGACAGAGTTAGCATGGTGCTACTCTAAGTAAGGCTGGAGTTTAGCAATCAGAGTTACTTAATTAGAATATCAAAAAGAGTGAATGCAAAATATAGCTTGAAAGAGAGATGTAAGTGGCTTTTGCCAGTATCAAGTTGTCCCATCTTCCAGTCTCTGAGTATTCTTTGGTTTGTTTTTTCTTGTCTTAGAAAAAATAGAAGACATATTTCTTTCCTTGCTTTCTGTCTTTTTAATTTCTGTTCTTTTTTTTTTCCCTCATTTCTGGTAGACAATGGCTTAATCTAAAGAATAAAGACACCATATGATTATATCATTTTCTAATCCAATTACAGATCTTTGATATAGCCCCTTATCTTTTTTTCTTCATGCCGTGATATACAGATCACATGGTTCTTTAAACTTGAAAATATCTTTACTTTTCAGATCATGCCTTTACCTTTCCTTTGCATTTCACTAAAACACAAATGTGCAATATTTAATTATTTGATTTCTATCTTGTGAAAGGAAGATTAATAGAGACATTAATGAATGCAGTAATGTAATCAACAGTTAACTTTCCTAGAATAATTTGATTGGGATTTCATTTTACAATATAGGTGAAAACCTGGCTCCAGTAAAATTACATCATTCCCATAAGATTTAATAGGACCAGAATTTCATTACCTACTTTCTGATGACCTGAAAATTTTCGGTATTTGGCACCATGGTCGTTTGACAGCAGTGGAACTGCTTTGTTGCTTCAATGTGTGTTAAACTTCAGAGGAATACTCTCCCAGCTGCTCTGCCTTGGAAAGAGGAAAAGCCTTTTCCACAGCAAGGATCAACGGCCCAGTTAGACAGCAGCTGTTGCAATGGTGTTTAGAAGCATTCATTGTCACTATTAGGGCTGTTACATGCACTCCTATCAGTTTTTAAAACTTGCACATGCCCATTAGTGACATGAAGAGTATTAATCACAGATAGATTTTTGGTAAAAAACATCCATTTGTTCAACTATTCTGCCTCCCTATAGAAGTTGGAGATTTAACTGTAGGCTAAATTTAAAAGTTGAACTCTTAAATCTCATGCAGTACTTATGGAAGCAACAGAATTCTTTATGAGATACAGAGGAGGCATGAAAAAAGCATTGTGATCCTTGGTTTGATCTTTTATATTTACTGTAGCTCATTATTTGATTCAGGAAACCCTGCCTTGTTCACTTATCTTTGATGTTAGCAGTGTCAGAAAGTCTAATATAGACGTTCCTTTTTCTATTATTTTTTTTTTCCCCCAGCTGTTGTTTACATATTCTCCCCAAAGTGAAAGCAGTGGAGCTACAGTACTGGCCCTCACAAAGCTGGTTGCTGAGGTTCTTGTTGGTTTAATAGGGCAAATAACAGTCCAGTCTAGTTCCTTTTGCTCTTGTCATAAAGATGGTGAGACTTAAATTGCCCTTTTGCATGGAAGCTAGACTCCTGCAAGAGAAACAGAAACCCTGCAGCTGGACTTTCAGATGTACTGTGAGGAATGAAAATTTTTATCTCATCATAAGAACTCATCAAACGGACTGAATGGCCACGAAGTCTGGGAGCAGAAGCAGCCTGGAGAGGACAGAAGGTCAGCAGTCCTCAGTGACAAGATGATTCTGAACAGTTTGCTGTGCTGTGACTGACTTCCTTCCCTTTCATGGTGTACTTCCTTTCTCAGCCTACCAGTGCTCAGTTAACTAGTATACACAGTGGCAGCTTTCATGTGTTTTATCTGGGATAGTATCAGATAAAAATTTATAGTAGAGTTGTGTGAACATGCGCATATAAGTGTAAAATAATGGAAGTTCAGAACAATGTGGAATAAAACAAAAAACAGTAAAGTACTGAAGATAGCACAAAGATGAGAATGCTATGTTGTTACACATTGGAAATGCAAAAACTATGGTCATTGTCCTGGAGGTTTTGAGTTTCTTCTGTGCTCCCCATTACATTCTAAGGTCAAGTGGCTGTGTGTTATCTCTGCAAGCTTGGGGACAGACAGTGAAAGCTCCATTGATTCAACTGCACAGGCAATTGAATGAATAGATGCTGTGTAAGAGTTGATTATTAGTAAACAAGAAAATACATGTCCTTAAGTATTAAAATATTTAAGAATCTTTTTAAGTATTTTGGTTTGTTGTTCCAGGATATGGTTTGTTATGTAGTGGGAATGTCACTGAATATCTTCCCACTGTTCTTGGTTTCTGTATTTTTCTTTTAAACCTCTATTTTTTATCCCTACTGCATGCCGCTATTAAAACTGATCTACAAAAAAAAAGGATTTAGTGAAGTTTATAATCTGATTTTTGTTTATGAACTGTTGAAGATGGGCTCCCCTGACTCAAAGTATTACTGAGTATAAAATAATTTATAACATCAGAATTGCTTCCTTTTTGCTTAGGATGAACCCTTCCCCGCAGGTGCTATGACACAACATGGTCATGAGTTTTTGTAGTATTGTCTCATCTCTGAGACAAAGCCTTCTCCCAAGAGGAAAGATCTTGATGGAAGGCCCACTGCCTAGGCCATAATTGCCAGTGATTGTTTAGCAAATTGCAGGGTGCCCTGTGTGGGAAGCAGCTGCAAGCTGTCCTGTGATAGTCACAGACAGGTTCAGTCAGCTCTCAAGCTGACGAGAGCAGGGTGAACACCATCAGGTGTTGAAACCTGCAGCCCTTCAGGGCAGCACCCCACAGACCAGCTCTCACATGTTTGTGAAAAAGCTGCAGTCATGAGGGGCATGAAAGACATGGGGAGATGTCCTTGGGGACATGTGGCTGGAGACAGGCAGAGAGAGAAGCTGCTGAGGACATGGCTGGAGACACATTCTTGGAAGGAGGCACTCCATGATGGAGTGCTACCTTCCAGGGACTGCAGCCATGGGCAACCCACAGAGGCAAAGGGGCATGCCTGAGGTACCGCAGCTGTGGGCAGGGACATCCTTGAGAGCCTTTACTACTGGGTGACTCCCATCAGAGTGAGGACTTCCATCAGAGTAAGGGTACCCTTAGGGGTAGTGGCCATTGCTGAGCCATGCTGGGGAAGAGGAAAAACATTAACAAGTGAAGAGAAGCAGACAGAAAACATTAAGAACACAAACCAAAACCTTCTGGGCCACACATTTCCTCATCTAAGGAACTGGGATTGCCTGAGTGTAATCCGTAGGAAAAATGCAGGAAAAAGTGATCAAGAAGGCAGGGAGGAGAGATTTGGCTTAACAAGAACCCAGATCAGGGAGGAATCCCTTTACTTTTTTGTAGGTGTTTACTTATAAGTTTCTTACTTGCTGATAGAGTTTGTTTTCTCAATAAACAAATCACTGATTAGAAGTCTGCATGACATGGCAATAAATTTAAAAGGGTGAAAAATTATTGAGTCTAGATTGTTTACCCACTATAGGCACTGTGCTGCTGCTTGTCATGAAAGATATGATCAGTTTTAAGATTTCTTTCCTGTTTCTTTGTCTAACATTCATTTCATATTTCAAATGATGTTTAAGCAAAACACATAGATTTTCTTGTTGAATAAACTGTGTTTGAGCTTCTCTACTTCAAGTTCAGTTTAGTAACATTTTATCTTTCTCCAACAGTGGATTTACACATATATGTAAATGGAACAAAAGAATAAGTTCTGCAGACTGCAATTTTCTCTCAACCAAAAACCAGTAATTCTGTAAGAGGGTAGAAGAAGCACAGTAAACTGGGTTACCTTGCAGAAAACTCATATGTTGTTAATGAAAGGATTTTAGCATATCTTGAAGTATTTTTCAGCTTCCATGGACACAAAATGCCTGATATCTTAATGTCATCATAGAAAAAATAGGTTCAGATTCATAAATCATGATCAGTTTCCATTATCTGGCAAAATTAGGACCTAGCCTTAAAATTCCTCCATGGTCCACATTCAGTAAATCATCTCTACTTATGGTAGTAAGAGTCAAACATCAGTTTATAGTTAAGCACCTGCTTAAGTGCTTTTTTGGGTTATGTTCAAAAATTAAATGTGTTCATGTCCCTCATGTGTAGATAAGGGTCAGATATAAAATTAGAAGATAGATTTAGATTCCAGTCACCTTCTCTTTAATTAGTAAGTACTCAGATCAGAACTTCTATATGGGACCATCTGGGCAGTGCCATTTTTAATGCAGTTATTTATTTTTCCATTTCATCACTGAATCTCTTGCATTACAGGTCTGTGTTTTTAAACAGTATCAAAACAAAGATGACAAGCATATTCATTTACTGGCTCAAATTAGAAAAATAACTGAGGAGGTGTTGAATGAAGTGCATTTACTATTTTGAGTATTTCTTGCACACAAAATTTTGATTCTCAAAAATTATCATGAAAAAATTTGTTCTGCTAAAAAATCTCTAACAGATTATTTACATAAAACAACCATTTTTTAAAATTATATTTATTTATTAATGTATGTTGCTTCAGTGTAATACAAATTAATATGAGTATCTTATTCTCTACATCAAATTATGGTTTTCTAATGGCATGAGGGTCATTTTAAACATCATTGCTTCAGTTGTCAGAGAGATGGACAGAACATTTGAACTTTAACAGAACATCTGCTTCAAAGTGCATATGCTGTAATTTATGGCCATTTCGGTATCACTGAACTGTTGCTAAATTTAACAGGATTCAGTACTTCCATAAAGATTTTAGCTTAAAAAACAAAAAGGTGTTTAAGAATGAAATTACACATGTAGTATTATTAATTTTAAGAGACTGAACAAAGATTCAGATAAAGTGCCCATGAGACATCAAATATCATAAACAAAAGACAAAAGGGTTGGGTGTTTTGTGGAGAGGGCATGGTTATAAACAGGTCACTCTTCAACAGAAAATATTTCCTAAACAAAGGAAAAATAAAAGGTGAACTTTTAAACTCATTTCTGCAAAATTAGCAAACACAGCCTCTTCTCTCTTGCTAGTTACTGGATG